CAGCTTTCCTTTCAAGGATGTGTTTCCTGTAAAACATTATCATGCCTTATTTTTTTGCTGACATATGTGAAAATCACGAAAAGTCGGCTATAAATTGTGACATTATTAAAGAAGGCATGAAGATACTTAAAAGTTAAAATTAAAATTGTCTTTCCTCGCCACTATTTTTCCTTGTTTCATACTCAAAGTGTATCATACTGCATAAAATGCCAACCGCAGCTTGCTAAAAATTGTCTTTGTATTTATCTCGAGGTGCGACCGATCCTCCATCTGTATTCGTGAAGGTGCAGTGGATAAGTAAGGTTGTGATTACATTTTAGCTGAAATTTTAAAGTGAAAAATGTGATCTGTACAACAGTAACTGTTAGCCTCATCAAGTAAGCACTTATATTTAAAGGCAATGCATTATTTTTTGTTGCTTGCTTGCTTGCGTGTGTGTGTGTGTGTGTGTGTGTGTGTATATATGAGAGAGAGAGAGAGAGAGAGAGAGAGAGAAAGAGAGAGAGAGAGAGAGAGAGAGAGAGAGAGAGAGAGAGAGAGAGAGAGAGAGAGAGAGAGAGAGAGAGAGAGAGAGAGAGAGAGAGAGAGAGAGAGAAAGAGAGAGAGAGAGACAGTAGTCATGCATTTTTTCATTCTTTTAGTGTGTCTTTGCCCAAATCGAATTTGAAGATATTGCTAACGAGAATATGAAGGAGTGTTTAAATTACATCGAACAAATGGCCAAGCGAATGATGGTTTTGAAAGAGGAGGGAGCCCGAAGACAACTAATCACAGACCTCATAAGGAGACAGTCATCCTTTTTTGGCCATGTTATGAGAAGAGGGAAAATAGAACATATTGTGACCACTAAAAAGATCTGTGACAGGAGAAATAGAGGAAGACAACAAGAGTTGCTGATGATGATATACTATTCGTAGTCGTATTCGGCCGAATAGTTAGTCTCGCTATTGGTATTCGGCTGAATAGTGAAAATCACTATTCGGTACAGCCCTAGTTATAAGACAACAGTTATAAGACAACAATTATATTCCAAGAGGAACAAAGGAAGACAATCTTACAATTGGGTGGACAATGTCAAAGAGATGTCTAGAGGCACACTGTATCAGGGACGAAAGAAATACAATGTTACATGTGAGTGGACAAAATTAACTGAGGTCGGAGGCAGTCTGCATGAGCTAACAATGAAAACACAGGACAGAGGGTTGGTCCCGGTGTGGGTCTGGGGTCCAATACGAGAGAGGGTGGGGAATAGGTCGGGGTTGCTGGCAAATCCATTGCATCCTTAAAAAGTATGTCCTAAAAGGCAATTAATTAAGGGTTTTCCTAAATCTGATTTGCAGAAAAGCACAAATATCACTGCCTAGTTGTAAAACCCAATGTACAAACTGCCTTTTTAAGGTTGAACAAAGAAGAAAAAGAAGGACAAAGGGTTGGAGATTAATCCCATCACCATGGAATGCAGAGAGAGCTTTGTGATGAGGTTAAATGCTGAACTGCAAGGTTCAGATAACTAGAGTTTTGCACCTCCGTTACCATGGGGTAATATGAGTGTGCTTTGAGTGAGGTTGCCATTGGCACCATAAGGAAGGCAACACTTCCTTGCTTCCTACTGAAGTAACCATGTTGGAACAAACTCATAGTGTATCCAATCATCCCCATGTGGAATGCAATTTTTCGTTATTTTGAAAACCAACCCTGGCTCTTGCCAGGGGCTGCAATATAGCCCGGCCATAAATATGGTCTAATGGCTGAATGCAGTTTCCATGACCTCTCCACAGGTGATCCTCATCCGCATGGTGGCACTTTGTGTCATCGGGTTTTTATCGCTTGTACGATGTGGGAAAAAATTTGCTACTACTACTTATTGAAGAAAATGAGCATCTGTGAGAATAACCAAAGTGCAGTGATGTCATTTCTTAATTTCTTAATTTATTCTACATAACTGTGAAATAAACATATTTTTGCTGTAATATTCCAGTAATAAAATATTCAAGTGATAAAATATTCAAGTAATAAACATAAGATTATTTTCTTCTGCGTTCATCACTCCAAAGGCATTGATTGAATTATGGTTTACAGATAGGCTGAGATATCTGCATGTTTCAGCCAAACACATTCAATTTTGGTAAACATCATTTTTTACTTTTTTTTCAAATGATTCTTCAGGGAAAGTAGATCTAACTAACCCACCCCCCTCCCCTCTCCCTTTTCACCCCATAACTAGGGCCCGAAACTTACAAGGGAAAACAGAACATTATGAAGCCACGGAACAATAAACAAAATTACTGCTACTTTGCTGTGAATAAATCGCACCAAAGTAAATCAGCTACAAACCGCTATAACATAAACTATGACTGATGGCCAGCAATATGTCATTGTATGATAAATACAACTGCGAGAACCTGAAGGTGTCTGATTCAGTGATAATCCACTTCTGGGATCCCACAGAATGACATGCTTGGATGTCGACTGGCAAGGACACTGAGTGAGAGATGCCTTCAAGCATATTTAATACCTCCACTTGCTGCCTGTACACAAAAGATGTTAATCTGAATCAGCAAATATGTCAAAGAACAACTCTAATTTATTCAGTCATAATCATGTCAAAGAACAACTCTTATCTATTCAGTCATAATCAATCTGTCAGGCAAGCAAATAATCAGGCATCATTTACACCAGCGTTTTTCAACCCGTGGACTGCAGCCCTCTGGTGGGCCACAGAAAAGTCCAGGTGCACCATTAACAAATTCTGCTTAATCAGTTAATAAGGTAGGGTATGTGGTTTAATTCTTCCAGTCTGTAGGATTAACACCTCAGGGACTTCCCTATTTGTGTGAAGAAAAGACTTTCTTAATCAATTCAGTAAAAAAAAACAAAATGGAGAAATCGAATGGATGTTGCAGCACTTTGTCTTTCAGAAACAACATTCCTGCCACATATACCAGATTGTTTGACCTCCAAGAAGCAGCAGATGTAAAATTGTAATTTTGTAACAAACAAACAACTATCAACATTAGTTTATGTTTCCCCTTTAGTTAGCTGGGCCATGAAAGAATTGAATGGTGGGTCCCGGTTGTGAAAAGGTTGAGGAACACTGATTTACACAACAGAGACTGGCTGCATTAATCTAAAACCTCTGTATTTGACTGTTGTTGTTTCTCACAAATGTTGCCTATTTTTCTGTGCATCCACACTGCCTTCATGTCAATTTAGCTTTCCTATTGATAATTCATTGTCTAATTTTCATATTTCAGTCACAATGGCATTATTAAACCTGGGATACATTTAGGTGTGCTTAATCAGGCTCACAACACAACAAATAATAAATCAACCCTTTTCCAAATAATGAAATATTGTGTGTGCTCACAACACAACAAATAATAAATCATACCTTATACAAATAATGAAATACTGTGTGTGCTCACAAGACAACAAATAATAAATCATCCCTTATCCAAATAATAAAATACTGTGTGTGCTCACACGACAACAAATAATAAATCATCCCTTATCCAAATAATGAAATATTGTGTGTTGCTCACAACACAACAAATAATAAACCATCCCTTCTCCAAATAATGAAATATTGTGTGTTGCTCACAACACAACAAATAATAAATCATCCCTTATCCAAATAATGAAATATTGTGTGTGCTCACAACACAACAAATAATAAATCATCCCTTATCCAAATAATGAAATATTGTGTGTGCTCACAACACAACAAATAATAAATCATCCCTTATCCAAATAATGAAATATTGTGTGTGCTCACAAGACGACAAATAATAAATCATACCTTATACAAATAATAAAATACTGTGTGTGCTCACACGACAACAAATAATAAATCATCCCTTATCCAAAAAATGAAATATTGTGTGTGCTCAGAAGACAACAAATAATAAATCATTCCTTATCCAAATAATGAAATATTGTGTGTTGCTCACAACACAACAAATAATAAATCATCCCTTATCCAAATAATGAAATATTGTGTGTTGCTCACAACACAACAAATAATAAATCATCCCTTATCCAAATAATGAAATATTGTGTGTTGCTCACAACACAACAAATAATAAATCATTCCTTATCCAAATAATGAAATATTGTGTGTTGCTCACAACACAACAAATAATAAATCATCCCTTATCCAAATAATGAAATATTGTGTGTTGCTCACAACACAACAAATAATACATCATCCCTTATCCAAATAATGAAATATTGTGTGTTGCTCACAACACAACAAATAATACATCATCCCTTATCCAAATAATGAAATATTGTGTGTGCTCTGAAGACAACAAATAATAAATCATCCCTTATCCAAAAAATGAAATATTGTGTGTTGCTCACAACACAACAAATAATACATCATCCCTTATCCAAATAATGAAATATTGTGTGTGCTCTGAAGACAACAAATAATAAATCATCCCTTATCCAAAAAATGAAATATTGTGTGTGCACACAAGACAACAAATAATAAATCATCTCTTATCCAAATAATGAAATATTGTGTGTATATAGTATATATCTTCAGGCAAGTTGACAAAAAAGTATGGACTTGTGAGAACTGCAGAATGGTTATTGACAAATATTTAAAAAAAAAAAATTATTTTTAAGTAAAAGTGCGATAACCAGTGAAATACAGGATAGGATTATATATATATGAAACATATAAAATGAAACAGAAGAAAAAAATCTTTTTCTATTTATATATATAACTCTTCCAATCAATGCCTAGCAACTAACGTGCATTTAGTGATTACTTGATATTTTTTTCCTAATTCCTTAAACATAATCTAGCTGGCTCATTTAGTGATTACTGATTACTTGATATTGTTTTCCTAATTCAGTAAACATAATCCAGATAGCTCATTTTGTGATTTCTGATTACTTGATATTCTTTTCCATAAAAATAATCCAGCTAGCTCATTTTGTGATTACTGATTACTTGATATACTTTTCCTTAAACATAATCCAGTTGGCTCAAGAAAGGAAGGAAGGACGTAAGGAAGGAAGGAAGGAAGGAAGGAAGGAGAAGAAGAAGACATAGACAGACCCATTTCTATTCCACTTAGTTACCTCTCACAACACAAATGAGGGTTAACAGCAACAAATTAGCAAGCAATACTACCACTCACCCATTCATCTTATAAAACAGAGTGGTCCCTCTTGGGTCTAGGTCTTCAGTAACACACATCCTGTATGGGTTCTAGAATACAAAGTCTCCAGGTTTACATTTCATAAATGCTGTTCATTCAATTATTTTAAACAACAACATCAGCAATAACTCAGACACACTAAACAATACAAATATAGTTTCATTTTCTGGTTTTAGATAATAAACATGTAACTCCATTGCATTGGCAAAGATTCAGATGTGTGTTCTTAACAGAATCATACATGCTATAAATATTAGTAAAGAAAAGTGTGGATTTATAGAAGGAAAAAGTACAAACAATGCCATAAACATCAGCAGGACTCTTTTTTGCATAGAGCTATAGAAGTAAAAAAAAAACAATCTTTACTTATGCTTCATAGACTACATTGAAAGCATTTGATTGTGTGAAATACGATGAAATAATCACACTACTGGAAAAGTCTTTTTATTGGTTGAATCCAAGGTTTTCTTGTGGGCATCATTAAAGATTTAACACACCAAATTACAGATTCTAAAAGAAAATTTTGTTTTATTAAACTGCTATGAGTTTATTTTCTTTCCTTTTAATAGTATATATCTTCAGGCAAGTTGACAAAAAAGTATAGACTTGTGAGAACTGCAGAATGGTTATTGACAAATATTTTTTTTTAAAATTATTTTTAAGTAAAAGTGTGATAACCAGTGAAATACAGGATAGGATTATATATATGAAACATATAAAATGAAACAGAAGAAAGAAATCTTTTTCTATTTATATATATAACTCTTCCAATCAATGCCTAGCAACTAACGTGCATTTAGTGATTACTTGATATTCTTTTCCTAATTCCTTAAACATAATCTAGCTGGCTCATTTAGTGATTACTGATTACTTGATATTGTTTTCCTAATTCAGTAAACATAATCCAGCTAGCTCATTTTGTGATTACTGATTACTTGATATTCTTTTCCATAAAAATAATCCAGCTAGCTCATTTTGTGATTACTGATTACTTGATATACTTTTCCTTAAACATAATCCAGTTGGCTCAATTAGTGATTACTGATTACTTTATATTCTTTTCCTTAAACATAATCCAGCTGGCTCATCTAGTGATTACTGGTTGCTTGATATTCTTTTCCTAATTCCTTAAATGTAATCCAGCTGGCTCATTTATTGATTACTAGTTACTTGATATTCTTTAAATTTAAAAAAATGTGTCTGGGATTGAAAGAGTTTTTTCACGTGTGGGTTCTGGGGAGCCAGTTTGAGAGAAAACATGAATAGACTCACTGCCCCCCCCCCCCCACACACACACACACACACACACAACAAGCATGTCGTGAGAGTCAACTAATTAGGAGTTTTTTTTCAAAGTCGGAGGGCATTTGTTAAAGAGGCAAGGAACCAACAGTCTGCATACACATTAGCCAAATCTGTTTTTAAAAAAATGTACACCCACTCAAGTTCAGGAACTAAACTAAAGTCCAGAAATGGATGAACAACCAGAACTCAACACCCAAGTTTACAGCCGGTAAACATAAAGAAGAAGATGAAAACAGAAAAAGAAGAAGAAAGAATTTAAGTATAAAGATATGATACATTTTTTTCCCAGCACAGTTCTCTAGGACTGTCCAGGATTCACAGCCATACGTTAAATCTAGTTCTACATAACATACAAGAATTATGTTTATTATCTCCAATGACAGGGATTTTTGCAAAAGATGTTTTTTAATTTACTGAATGATGTTCATAACAAATGCGTTATTTTACGAAAATGTGTAACATAAGCTCACCTCAGTTTTTGAGGATACTGATGGGAATTTTCTCTTGCTGGCGGAGACTTCAGGCAAGCCGTCTGCAACAATGCGTGTAATGTGACCAGTCTCTACGTTGACTGCTATCAAGACATTTGTCTTAGAAGAGAAAGACAAAAATAGCTTTTGTTTGTTATAGTTTCACACAAAAAACATTCACAGAATACATTTTTGACAGGTTTTATAATGATGAAGCAGATTATATGTAAATGTATCGCCATCTTCAAATGCATGGCTGTTAGGTTAACAAGATCACCAGAATAATGGATCAGGATGATGTTCAGACAACATGAGGTAGGGTTGTTAGTTTCCTTCCTCACCACTTTTACTTTCACATATAACTAACAGAATACTCTGAAAACTGGGCGGCACCAATTTTTATGTGGTCTTCTTTTTATTTAATAAATAAACAATCCAGCCACTACAGAAACTTAACCCAGACCACTGTCTTGGCAGGCCTACACACTAACAACTATGCCACTGTGGATAACTATGTATGGAGTAACCAGTGTATATATGACAAGCTGTCTCAGTGGATTAAGAAAATGTGAAAATATTGGGTTGTAGAAACTGTTTCAACACACAAACACAAAATGGTAAGCATGCATCTTTCATGTGGAAAAATATACAGGATAACTAAACATACTGGTTTTACCATGAACTGTCCTGACTACCTAAACTAGTTTTGGTGTCCTGAAAAACCTTCTCAGGACCTTTTTTCACAAATAAAAAAATTGCTCGTAATTATAGTAGTCTAACGCCCGCTGCGGATTGGAAGGTCGTGGGTTTGCTCCCTGGAGGAGCTGGACTTTTTTCAAAAATGACCTTGGCTCCCAGGCGGACCCAGCCTTGAGTGGGTACCGGGTGCAGTCCCGAGAAGTAGAGGTGGCCGGCGTGATGTTGACCACATCACCCATCTTGTGCTGATTGGTCTATAAAAATATAGGTCTAGCCCTATATGCCCTATACGCCTAAAGGCCTGGAAAAGTGTCCTTTACTTTAAAAAAAAAAATTTTAATATAGTAGTTAACTGGTTCAATTTCTTTATAAAAGAATATACTTTCTATGAAAATGTAATGATTTCTTGATTAATAATATTTGGCAGTTCAACTATTTGCACAAGACAGCAATGGCAATACTTCCACTAACAGAAGATGGATGTTTGATGAGTCTACTCAACTAAAGTCCCTTGAAGCAAAATCCCAGGTCAACATCATAAGAGGTGATAAACTGGAGAAAGTAAGGGATTGCTAGGACTGGGTGGAATTTAGCCATGAAGGCTTTAAATTTGTCCCTCTAAGACCACGTGCTGATAAATAGACTCTCCTCCAGGATGCACACTCCTTCCATCGGCATCTACGCCTGAAACATCATCACTGGGGTCAGCCACCCGCCCCCAGTGTGCCTGTTTAACGAAACTACATTTCTTTCAACGACCAACAAATCCCATACACAGTGGATTCCTCCTGCTGGTAAATCTAAGGCGCTTGATCTTTACATCAGCCACATGCTCCATACTATCCAACAGTTGGAACAAAGGCCTTTACCTAAATCCAACCTCTCCAAAGGTGAATGGCGGGCACTCTCCTCCCTCAGAAGGAGGGACTATATTGTTATAAAATCAGCTGACAAAGGGGGCGCTGTAGTGGTTTGGAGGAAGGATCTTTATATTGAGGAAGCCAGCACCCACCTCGGAAACCCCATTTTCTATTCCACCAGAAGGGACGACCCCACAGTCTCCAACAATAAGATAGTCAAGGACACATTACAATCATTTATTTCACAGGGTACTCTTCCTAAGCAGGCCAACAATATGCGTGTTTTTGACAGCAAACTCGGCAAACCGTGTATGTACTTGCTGCCTAAGATCCATAAGCCCAACAACCCTGGACGTCCTATTGTATCTGGGTGCTTCTGTCTTATGGTGTATCTTTCTGAATTTTTGGATAGTATTTTCCAACCGATTGTCACCAGTCTCCCTTCATTTGTCAAGGACACCAACCATGCCCTCAACATTTTCGGATCCCTCAGGCTACTTTCCGGTAAAACCTATAATCTTTTCCTGATAGACCTATGCTCCCTCTATACGTCTATCCCTCACTCTGATGGTCTTAGAGCACTCCAGTTCTTTTTGGACAGAAGGTCCAACCCGATCATCCCTACTTCAGTTCTTGTACACCTTGCCGAACTGGTACTGACCCTTAACTCTTTTGAGTTCAATGGTGAGTATTTTGATCAGATCAGTGGGGTAGAGATGGGCACCAAGATGGGTCCCAGTTACGCATGCCTCTTTATGGGCCACCTGGAATATGAGGTCAGTTTATCGTACCCGGGCAAGTTTCCGGAGGTGTATAGGAGATACATAGATGATGGCATTGGTATCACCGAAATGTCGATGGTTGAGCTTGACCAATTTATTACTTACATCAACAATTTCAATCCCACTATCAAATTCACCTCACTGATCTCCACCACTTCAGTAAAATTTCTTGACATCACGGTTAGCATCGATTTTCCGTGTCTTAAGACCACAGCCTACTACAAACCCACGGATTCTCACAGTTATCTCCTCTATACATCTTCTCACCCACTACCGTGTAAGAATTCTATTCCATAGGCACAGCTCCTTCGATTGCGCAGGTTGTGCTCTGATGATTCTGACTTTTTTGATAAAACAATTGAACTTCTTGATTTCTTCCGTGTCCATTTCTATCCGGAACACATTTTACAAGGGGTGCTAAACAAAGTTTTAGCAATCACCAGGAGAGATGCTTTCCCTACCAAACGTAATTCCACCAGTGATGGAACCAAACTGATTTTAACTTTTCACCCTAACAATGTGGTTGCTTCCAAAGTTTTCTTTCGTCATTTGGACATCCTCCGCTCTGATCCGGACACCAAGATTATCTTTAGCGAGAAACCTAAATTAGTTTATAGATGGGACTGCAACCTTAAAGACATACTTATCCGAAGCCGACTCCCACTGATCCACACAGCACTTCCTTTTGGGACTACTGAATGCTTACGCAGCATGTGCAAGACATGTCCTTTCGTTGTCCAGACTTCTTTGGTCAGTTTCCTAATGGTTCTTTCCAAATTAGGGAACCTTTTACTTTTGAATCGCGCAATGAAATTTATGCAATTATCTGCAAACGATGCAGCAAGGCATACATTGGGGAAACTGGCAGGAAGCTAGCTGATCGTTTCCGGGAACACCTCTCCGATATTGACAAAAAAGACACTTAAACCGATACCTCTCTATTTTAATAGCTTTGACCACAGAGGTAAAGATGATATATCTGTCACAGCATTAAAATCTTGCTCTGGTGATAATACTATGCGCCTCGCTTAGAAAATCGCCTCATCCATAGCCTAGGCGTTCTTAGTCCAGGTGGTATCAATATCCAACATACCTTCACCTAAATAGTTCTACTCTTATGACATTTTAAATGTTAATTATTTTATTTTCTTCTCTTTTATTTTATTTTATATTATTACTTTATTTTATTTATTATCAGTCAGTATCATTTATATATCATTAACATTTGTATTTCTTTTATTCCCAGTATTATATTATATATTAACAATACTACTGTTTATTATTTTTTTTTGACTATATTTTTTTGTTATCGTTTGTTTTATTTTATTTCATTTATTCCACACCACATTTTTTTAAACGTTGCTCACGTCACCCCTTGAAGATCTACACACTCTCATCTCCTCGTTGTTACGTTTGTGTAGTTCACTTATGTTTGAAAAAGGTCGCCCGGTAAAAATGTTACGTTGTGTTGTTTTTTTGCCCGTTTTTCTGCTTCCCCATTTTTTTGAGCTTTTTAGTCAAATTTCTCTGGAATTCCTTGTATTAGCTTGACTGCAGTCACCCCCCCCCCCCCCCCCCATATTTTCACCATCATGGGATACCCATAAACATCCTGGCTAACAGAGCTTTGGTGATGTGAAAGCTCTAGCAAGCTGGCAATCAAGTGATTACTGCATTTGAGAATACACTGAGATAGAAATGGAAGCAAAAACATTGCATCTCCCTTGATTCTTAAAACGGTAGAAGAGGAAGTGAAAAAGAAAGTAGAAGAAGAAGAAGAAAAAGAAGAAAAAGTGGAGGAGGATGAAGATGAGGAAGAGGAAAAGGAAGAAGAAGGAGGAGGAGAAAAAAAAAGAAGCAGCAGCAGAAAAAGAAGAGAAGAAGAAGAAGAAGAAGAAGAAGAAGAAGAAGAAGAAGAAGAAGAAGAAGAAGAAGAAGAAGAAGAAGAAGAAGAAGAAGCAGCAACAGAAGCAGCAGTAGAAGGAGCAGTAGAAGCAGCAGCAGCAACAGCAGATGCAGCAGAAGAAGAAGCAGCAGAAGCAGTAGTAGAAGGAGAAGAAGAAGGAGGAGGAGAAGAAGACAACTAGAAAACTATTCTTTTTACTTGAAAAATTATTTTTTTTTCAAATCAAGCATAGCTGACAGAGGGTGTTTGCCATTGAAAAGTTTGAACCATAATGTGCTCTCGTTCAATCTTAACTGAGTTTATGTTCTACCTTGCAGTAACAATGCTGTACATACATTCAGCTTTGCAAACATTTACTATAACAATAAAAAGAATCAGGCTTCAAACAAATTATCAAAACTGACCACTTGTTCATGAAGTAAAACTGTGTCATCCAAAGGAGATGCCAATGCCTGGATTCGAACCTGCAAAAGACAAGGTATGCATTCATGTAAATAATTGTAACATTCTTTTAAAAAGAAATGTGCTAAATTCAGTAAAGCAATGTTAATGTTTCACAGCTTGAGGCATACTATGCATATGGTCTTCTTCTTCTTCTTTTTCTTCATTTCCTCTTTTACTAGTATGGTGATGAGGGAGACATTAGGTTCCACTTCCTGCTCTTCTGGCCACCTCGACCATAGACACTGTGCTGTTGTAGAGTTTCTCTGATGTTGTCTTTCCAGTTCTTGGTCTACCTTGTTCTCTACGTTCTCATTTGGTATATGCCTTGCATAGGACAATGTCACAGGACATTCTCTCTAAGTAAGCATAACATTTGAACTGCTATTTTATAGTCAGTGTCACATATAGACCATTAGGGATTGCTCTTGCATCATAAATTCTCCTTCTGGACATCAAATTATGTGGTGGCAGATGGTTTCACCACATAATTGTATACAACAATTGATCCTTGATAGGTGAAGTGGTCAGTATGTCAGCTGCTTTCATTATCTGGAATATAAATTGATTTATGTGGAAGAATGTCCACACCTACTACTGTTAGTTCTGCCACCAGTTTTTGACACAGATGTCCCTCTATAGCATGATACCAAAATGTCTAATATCTTTTGTGTTGGTCTTCCACAGTATCTCATCCAATTTTCTTGCTGTTGTGATGTACTGTCTTTTTTAATTCTCAGGGTGTTGCCAAAGAATGTCAACCACCTTCTTCTGATGTGGGTAACTGTCAGGGTTCGCCCTGTTATGGGACAGTTCAGGATGATGATGATGAATCTCGTCATCGTACCCTGCGACCTTTAGTGCAACTCAGTACGTGTATACACACGTAGAAACGAGCATGAGCGGACTTCGCACGGGTGTGCACATTTTGGACCGGACGCTGAACGCTTGCTTGGGGGACTGCTAGGAAACTGGACGTGGGACGAGAGTGGATTTTTGACTGACCGTTTGTTTTGACTTGAAGATAGGTACCAGCGTAGTGATTAGCTGTGACGTGTTCTGTTCATAGTTTCATGTAAAGTAGTAGTTGTAACTAGAAGCCAGACCATGCTTTGCTGGTGGCGTTAACACTGTCGACGCACTTAGGCCTACACATTGGCGTATGCCATAACGTCTTTGGCATCGAGATATAGCGGGTTGAGCTGGCACTGTACGGGAGAGTGGTAGCGGCTCAGAGCTTAATTCATGAACATGTAAAGGCGCCTCTAAGCGATTTTAAAGTTAGACGCGGCCTGGGTTTTGAATAAGGAGCGCTACTCCTCCTGAGGTGTACCACCACTTCGTTTGCATCTTTGGTAATAAAGATTGTGTGTGTGTTGCAACAAGTGTTTGGCTTGAGTGTGTTTGTACGGTGTTTTCCTGTCATTAGCCTATAGCAGAGCCAATGGAATCGAGCCCTAGACAGTTAGGTTTCTGACAGTAACCAGTCCTCTTTGCGAGTGAATTTTTTTCTAAGCCATCTTTACCACACTTTTTTTTTTAAATCTGACCTTGGAGTTCTTATAATTCTTTTATAAAACCTCAACTTGGCAGCTTCCACACACTTTCTTACTAATTTGCTCATTGTCCATGATTTACTTCTGTACATCATGAATGGCTCTATATAACTCTCAAGAGCTCTCTCTTTCTAACTACAAAGCAATACATCACTTACAGAACATTGCTTCCACAAAAGCTTTGAAAGAAACTTGATCTCCTGCCAGCCCTCCTACCTCGATCCTTTTGCTGCCCAATATGTTTATATCCTTTGCCCATCTCTATCTTGGTTGGTCCTTCCCCTCTTGCTTGGTACCATGCCCTCTGCTTTTGTTCTTTCCAACATATTTTTGTATGGCCAAAGTACTTCAGTTTTTGAGACAAGATGCTGTTTAAGAGGCAATCTTCCTTGACCTAGATGTGCAGATCTTTAAGGATGTCGAGACTTCTTTTCATCTTTGTCTATGATATTCAGTATACTATACCCAAAAAATCTAAGTACGAATTAAGATCCAGACCTACCAGACCTACCTGAACCTACCTGCTCCCCCTTTACCTGAGCTCCTGGGCATTAACACGCAAAAACTAACATGATATACAAAAATATTAGTTACATGAAAACAAGTGGTTAGAATAAGATGAAACCTGGAGACACTGTAGAAAACAGCTTTACCTTTCATCTAGTGCTAATATTCCACCTTTGTCTGCCAATCCACCCAGCAGGATCATCCTTGTTTCACAAAGTTAGCACTAGATGTTGCTGTTTGAGGGACACACCCTCTTCTCTTACTATTGATCTAGTTTTAAATCTATAATTTTCAAGATTCTCATCACTCGAGCTCTCACCGACTGTGTCTCTTCAACTGGGAATGTATTCTTCATGAAATTCTGACTCCTCAGAGTCTGAATCAACCAAAGTATTGATCACCTGTTGGACTGTGAAAAGCCTAGACCTATTTCACTCACTTTCCTGTTGAAGTGCTTGGTTTATCAGGCTACCCCCCCTCCCCCCCCCCCCCCCCCCCCGACATAAATTGAAGAGATTTAAATAAATGATTAAATCTTTATTCATAAATTATTTTCATGAAATTATTTTCTGAAATTCATACATTTTCGGACACAAATCATTTTTACAAAAAAGTGGCTGTCAGTAGTGAAGTGGTCAAGCCTCTTGCCTCACATTCTGAAAGTCGTGGTTCGTTTCATGACTGCGTCATTTAATGCCCAAGTACAATTTTAAAGCAGACCCATGGGGGTCATCCCTGCAGCTACAGTGTTTGTGCTTTGTGCGACAGCAGGTAGCAGTGGACAGAGATCGAGCCAAATGGGATGATACCTGGTGTAATGAAATCAATGCTCTTAAATTTAATTTTATTACCTGCGGCTTGTAGGATCCCACAGTTGAAGGGAAGACATCGTACATGTCAATCAAATTGGCAGTGTGAGATGACATGGTCAGCGTGTACAGACAGATCGGGTGGCAAGTGGCTACGTAGATGACATCATGCTTGTTCTGACCGGGACTTCTCGTGTTCACTTTCATGAAGGATCAAAAAGAATGAAAAAAGTTCTTAAAAAGTTCACATTTACAAGTCACTCAGCAGTACTGGGATCATCATCATCACTATTCACTTCTGCCATTAAGCTGCATGGGGAGGAACAGTTTGCAATCCATTGCTTGATAGGTAACAAAGGCTGTCATTCTGTGTTAACGCAGAAAGTCTTTAATGTCATCAATCCATATTCTCCTAGTACAGCCTCCTACTTTCACATCAGCTCTTTTCACGGGGTCATTACCATTATAATAAAGTATCTTGTAATTCTTGATCTGTGGGATTAGTTCACGCTTCACATTAGTCAAGTAAAGGACCCTTTTCCACGTCTTCAGGCATATAGGGCTAGACCTCTAATTTGTAAAACAATCAACACTTGGTGGGTGATGTGGTCAACAGGACTGTACCCTGTACCCATTTAAGGCTGGGTTCAGCTGGAGGTCATGTTTGAACACAGTCCAGCTCTGTCAGGACCTGAACCCACGACCTTCCAAAGAAGGGCATTTCAAACACTTCAAAACCAACAGCATCCCCAAGCATAAGCAGCTGCATGAGGTGCAAACAATCCACCACTAGAATTGCAGTTTATCATCTATGTAAAGAGCAGATCAAAATGAATTAAGATTTGCACAGGTATTACTGTGTAAGGAACCACCAGTTCTATGGCAAACAGGTCACTGCCATTTTCTGATTAGGCAGTTCACAACACATGCTGTTGCTGCTTTCTGTCTCTCTAGAAGATAGTGTTATAATGAGCTATGATGAGGCATGGGAATCCCAGCGCATTGGACGGTGAGACTAGTATTCCACATGAAATCCACTACCCTCAGTGTTTCACCATACACTCAGCTCAGAAGAGGTGACAAGAGCATGTACTTTCAGTCCACTTATGGGGTAAATGTGTCATCAAACCGAGGCCCCAAGGAATTAACACTCGAAAGCTTTACCAGTTGACCCACCTTCATACTGGACTGGAAGTGAATATACATGAGGTTTTCTCTTCACAATTGAACAATAAAGTGTCACTGAGTTCTCAAACAAGACAACAGCAAAACATATCTATACCTCTGCTAACAGCTACATCACACACTATATTAGCATCCTCTAAAGGTAAAAAAGAGTATGACTCCTCCTCTGTGAACACATTAGATCTAGATTCAGTTCTGTCAACTGTGACACTCTGAACATACAAGGGGACAGGACCCTGAAAATATATTGATACAACAAACTTTATTGAATGTCATCAGACATGGGAGCAACATTTAGCCATAAATATCAATTATGACTTAGTCATTAGACAAATGGAAGATACACACATATTTCTACCAGGCTTATTCATTGAACTTAAAACTGATAAGATAAAAGTAAGAATATGAACATTTGATCTGACAAACAAAATATTGCATCCAAACACAACACAATATGGGCACTTTACTTCCTACATTTCCTGGTATCTCTCTTAGTCTGGGTTGACCTATGAGCCATGGTTAAAAAAATAAATAAACATCCACCAGGTGCAAATTAAACCCAAACCTGCGTGCCAGCAGACAAGCTACTGCAAATACTGGTGAACTAGATCAGACTGATTTATGCCCTGACTCAGACTTCCTCTAGGCCCTGACTGAGACAAGGAATAACATTTGCCTTTCTCTGTCCTCTATCATCCAGTGCACCACAGGACATCAGTACACCTAACGGATGGACGTTAAACCCCACCAGGACCGCACCATAAGAAACAATCACCCGGTGACACAAAAGTGCCACCATTCGGATGAGTATCACCTGGGCGCAAGTCCCGGAAACAATGTTTAACCCATAGGTAATTTTTAGGGCCCCCTATGAAAGCAAGGTTAAGGCTTTGAAATTAAACAAAATTGTGACGAGGATATATATTAACTTCAGTCAATTCTTGTCATCTTATCCTTTACCATTACATGCAGCTCACTTCATGTCCTTCCTATATTATTGTTGTCAGTCTTTAATTATTTGCACCCTGTGTGTGTATGTGTGTGCACGTGTGTGCATGCATGTGTGAGTACTTGTGTGATGCCCCCTTTATTTCTTTCATCCTGTGAGTTCCACCTCAAGGCAGTTCAAGCTTAACCAACATCTTGTCCTCATCTGATTCACTTAAATTTACTTAGTTCTCTCCCATGGCTCAACACTAGTGACTATAGCACATCAAAGAACTAGCTATATTCTGCACAGTATCTTGGCCTGGTGTTGCCTCAGAGGACTTTGCAAATATAGGAAAGCCCAATGTGCAGTGATTTAAAATGTTTTTACTCAACACTTAGAACCCTCTATTCTGCACTGGAATCCATACACGGTATCAACATGACTGCGCAGGAGAGACAAGAATAAAGAAACTGGTGATGAGCGTCTTTCATCATCATTATGATTGTCCTGTTGTGCCACTTTATGTCACATAGGGCTCACAGTCTATTCCTCCATTCTCTTCTATCCTGTGCGATCCCTTTGATATCATGAAGGTAATACAATGTAGTCCCTCTTTCATCAATGTTGATTTTAGGAATTTCTCTTGTATGAATCCTGTGTGGCTTATAAATGGCAAAACAAGATGATGATGGTGGTTCTGCACAGACACCACAAGAAGGGCAAAATATAAAATGACATAAACAAGAAATACAACATTGCGTGGCAGCTTTACCTTAACAGATATTTTCTTTGAGGTCACAGGCAACAGAGCTGACCCTGTACCATGTGCTGAAACATTCCACTGGCCACAATATTCTAAAGGAGGCATCGGGAATCTACATGATTTAATAGAAAGAAAGAAAAAAATATTGGCCCTGTATGTTTGCTGTCTATAACTAGCAGACATAACAGCACACCATTATAACTGCAACAGAACCAAAACATGACAGATAAAGATACAAACAAAATATTGCATCCAAATACAAGACAATATGGGCACTTTAATTCCTACATTTCCTGGTATCTCTCTTAGTCTGGGTCGACCTAGGAGCCATTGTAAACAACAACAATAACAACAAAAATGCACCTGGTGCAAATTAAACCCAAACCTGCATGCCCACAGACAAGCTGCTGCAAATACTGGTTAACCAGATCAGACTGATTTATGCCCTGACTTACACTTTTATATTTTTTCAGCAACAACAAAACTTTACAATAATTTCAATATACTACTAATGTTTATACTACAAATGTTTACACTACAAATGTTTACACTACAAATGTTTATACTACAAATGTTTACACTACAAATGTTTATACTACAAATGTTTATACTACAAATGTTTATACTACAAATGTTTATACTACAAATGTTTATACTACAAATGTTTATACTACAAATGTTTATACGACAAATGTGATACTACAAATGTTTATACTACAAATGTTTATACTACAAATGTTTATACTTCAAATGTTTATACTACAAATGTTTATACTACAAAATGAAAACCAAACTTTCTTCTTGTGTGAGTTTACTGGCAAAGGAATGGAGCTCGTATGGGGTGACCCGATTGGCAGTCAAGTTCAAGCCTCGACTGCAACTACTATCTTCAGCAGCCAACAAATAGTTCCAATGCTGATGGCACCAGCAGCCGTTTGATCACGTGTCCATCTGCCCCTCCCCACCCTCCATGTGCACAGTGTCAGCCAGATTCCCTAGCCACTCCCGCTGAATCACTGTCTCCAGACTGCAATGATCTACTTGCGCAGCTACATTCTTCATCCACTTCTAAAGGGCTCATCATTCATCAGTTCACCACCCAACGGTGGAGAACCACTCAATCTAGCCCCTTAACACATCAAAATCTCCCAGATAAATGCTCCAAAGGATGCTAACCATCAGGGACCTTTTAAGTTGTGCTTGCCACTCTGCATGGAGCATGCCTTTTTTTTCCCACCTTTCTCAGCATGCTTATAGAGTCTGCTACAATCACAACATGTGTGCAGCTGGTTATCAAGCCTTGGAGAGTGACTGTGACATCCATTCTCAAACTAGATGTTGTGGTATTCTATCACAGGCTTTGCTATGCTAAGCAACATCCATTTGCACATTTACATTCAATATATGATCTTTATTTTTTACTGAAAAATATTATTACAGGGCAAAGAACAGTGAATTCTGTCTGCTAAAAGACATAGTGAAGACCAACAATTTCTCAGGAACTTAAAAAGATGTTCATATCCTCATAACCATCCTTTTATGCCATTCAGATAACACATAGGGCTCAGTCTATATCTCTGTTCCATTCTAACCTGTGTTGAAAAAATGTTTGTTAATATAAAAAAATTAAAAAACAAAAAAAGTAAAGGACCCTTTTCCACGCCTTTAGGCATATAGGGCTAGACTTATATTTTATAGACCAATCGGCACAAGATGGGTGATGTGGTCAGCATCACGCCAGCTGCCTTTACTTCCCAGGACTGCACCCGGTACCCACTCAAGGCTGGGTCAACCTGGAAGCCAAGGTCATTTTTTTAAAAAGTCTGGCTCCGCCAGGGAGCGAACCCACAACCTCCCGTTCCACAGTGAGCGCCTAGCCGCTATGCCACGGCGACTCCCGTTTGTTTATATAATGGATGGAATCCAGTCCAGCATGTTAATGTTGCACAAAAATCAACCCCAAAAATAAAATTAACAATGACAACACTGAAAATGTTACAAACGTTTAATACCTTGACTCCACAATTAACAACAATGGGGACTGTTCTAAAGAAGACAGAAGGATATTGGCCCAAAGAATCTAAAGATGTACAGTAATAAGAACATATGGCACAATACCAGCGTACAAATTAAAGTGCACATTTATAGAACATTCATTTCTCTGGCAATATACTGACACTGTGCAATCACTGAAGAAGAAAACCAAGGTTTTTTAACTTAAAAAGAAAACCAAGATTTTTGAAGTTAACTGTTATAGAAAAATTCATCATATAAACGTCATAGAACATAATGAAGAAATATACTGATACAATACAAGATCTGAACATGACATAAAGCTAATTAATAAACAGGAAAAAAAAAAGGACTCAGTGCTCTCAAGATTATGGCAGCAATGGACATGGAACAAAGAATGCTGTTCACAATGTTCCAGCATTTGATCCTGTCGGTGATAGATTAGATGAGTGGGTCAAAGTGTCCGAGCAATTTTCAGACTTGTGTAGAGTTCTTATCACTTTTGGTCGTGAGTGCAGGGACTGGCCAGCTGGCGGTGCAGAATCAGAAGTTCAACAAATAATTCATGACGATTTCCGCCCAAGTGATGTGATTATCTATACAGATGGCTCTGTGTTGAGGAGCAAAGTGCATGGGGGTTCATAGCAAAAGCGAATGGACGTCGCTTAGTGCAACAGAGCCTGGCATAAGATATCACAATGTTTAGTTTGAGAATGGAGGTGCAGGCAGTCACTGCTGTCTTCCGCTGGCTTTAGAATCAGCTGTACACTCATGCCGTGATTGTAACAGACTCACAGAGCATGTTGAGAAAGGTGGAGACAGGTATGCTCTGTGCAGAGTGGCAAGCATCACTTCAGACATCCCGGGTAGCTAGCATCCTTTGGATATTTTCTTTAGGTCATCCCCGTGTGTTGGGAAATGAGCAGGCAGATAGACTTGGAGGTTAACTGATGTATGACAAGCTAGATGTTGTGAAGGCCCTGTGGGAGTGAGCGAACAGTGCGGAAGCGCAAATAGATCATTACGGTCTGAGAAGAATGGTGCTGTGAAGATTTACCAGGGAATCTGTTCCTTTAGTGAAGTGCCAATGTCAACTGTAGGCGACCAGTTAAATTCTAAATGTGATAAATAGTTTTCAATGTGTATGTTGTCTAATGTGTCCTCCCATGTCTTTTCAAGTCCATTCCTTATCTAACATGTCCAAAAACTCTGACAGCCTACGTATAATATCTCTACTCTAACCAGTTTGCAGTTTTCATCTGTCGTGAGTGACAGCCTCGTTAGTTTCTCTTTCGCTCCATGATATCCTCCAAATTCTTCTCAAAAACCAAATCTCCACTGTGAGTAGTGGAAGTCTAACCTTCTTGAGAAGGCTGAGTGGTCTCAAGCCCCGGTGAAGGCTGGGATTTTTGCACACGTGGACTTCTAGTAATTTCCCCTTGTCTCTGGGTAGTAAGACCGACGCCCGTGTGTATTGTTGCACGTGTAAAAAAAATCCCTTGGCAGTTGAGAATAAACAAAAGTAGCCTAACGGCACTGCCCCAGAAAAATTTGGAGTTAAAAATCTACCCAAAGTATTTCAGGATCCTCACCGGTGCTACAAAGTTTGTGCACTGCGCTGAGATTCTTCAGACTCAGGCTTCAGTTAGAAGTGGAACGGAGCACTTATGGATAACACCCGTGTGCCATGATGTTGATCCATTGACTAAATTAAACTAAAACATTGCGTAGATTAAAAAAAAACATCTTCATCTGTGGGCAGCTGTAAAAATTACTGTGACAGACAGTTTGCCAATGATCAATTTAAGAAAACCAAAATTAGTTGTACATCCGTTATATGATGTTGCAGAATCAACCACAGCATGTTTTTGCTGTTTGTGGCAATTTTATGCTCAGCAGTTTGCCATTGTCGGCGTCTGTGGCTTAGGCGTTGCGAACGAGCTTCTTAATATAGGGGTGCCAGCTTCAATCCCAACTGTAAGCCTCGCGCCTTGCATTGGTTTTGACAGTGGTATCTAGAAGCTGACTGTCCAGAAAGCAATGGCAAACTTCTGGATGTAAATCTGCCTAGAAAAACCACAACAGATAAAAAATGCTGGGCTTGGTTCCACAACGTCCTGTAAAGGATTTGCAACTAACTTTAGTTTACCACTGCTTTCTGAATGGTCAGCTTTTGATACCACTATTGAAACAATCATTGCAAAGTGATCTGCCAATTCATAAATTAAACAATAAAGTATTTATAGCATATTTAGATTGTTAAGCAGGATAAATCAAGCAAAAGCTGCATTTCAGGAAACGAATGACAACACTGCAGATACAGATAATCTATTTCAAGCAAATGAAAAAAAGAAGGACATTAATAACAGGATGCAATAAGTAATTTTCATTGGTAGTTAGGAAGAGAGCACTGAAATGTAATACTGAACTAATGCTAAACGTGGTTTACCGTATGGCAGTGAATCTTGGAATTTCTTGGAAAAAATAAATCTAGTAAGCCACTGGTAACAACAATTATAAGGCGAAAAAGATGGCACTACAATAGACACATCCTGAGAAGAAACAAGCAGAGAATCACAAAACAGGCATTTAAATGGCAAAATAAAAGGACTGAGGAAGCAGGGATGTCCAAAAGAAATCTTGAAATTAACACTGAGGAGAGAGGCCAAAGGTGCTGGACTGGATTCCATTAATGATATCAAAGGGACCGCAAGGATATAATGGAATGTAAGAACTATGTGACATATATTGGCACAACAGGGCAAAGGTAAGTGAATCATGGAATATGAGAACTATGTGACATATATTAGCACAACAGGGCAAAGATATGTGAATCTTGGAATATGAGAACTATGTTACATATATTAGCACAACAGGGCAAAGATAAGTGAATCATGAAATATGAGAACTATGTGACATATATTAGCACAACAGGGCAAAGATAAGTGAATCATGGAATATGAGAACTATGTGACATATATTAGCACAACAGGGCAAAGATATGTGAATCTTGGAATATGAGAACATTGTGACCTATAATGACACAACAGGACAAAGATACGTGAATGGAATATCAAAGAACAAAATAAGAAGAGCTTG